AGATTAGCCTGGGCAACATGGTTAAAACATGTCTCTACAAAAAAAATACAAATACACAGAGAGAGAGAGAGAGAGAGAGAGAGAAATTAGCCAGACATATTGGTGCATGCCTGTAGTCCCAGCTACTCTGGAGGCTGAGGTGGGAGGATTGCTTGACCTGGAGAGAAGAAGGCTGCAGTGAGCTGTGATTGCACCACTTTAGCCTGGGAAACAGAGTGAGACTTTGCCTGAAAATAAATAAATAAATTTTATTTTGTTTTCAATGTGACATTATCTTCCAGTTCCTCTCAAACTTCAGCAGTACCTTGTCCTTTAAAATGAGTGATTTTCAAATTCCATTATTACTTTATCATAGCATACAAATTTTTAATCAGAGATTAATAGAAAAATCTTATTTTAAAGAAATTTTCTTACCAACATAAATTACTGAATGTGAAAGCACTAAGAGCAATTTCTCTACATTATTCAGTTCTGTTTTCTTTCAATTTAATTTTCAATGATGGATTTTCATAGGTGAATTAACATCTTGGTATTCTTAAAACTTTTCCATAGACATGATTTTGTTTCAGAAACATAACATTTGGTAAATGAAATAAGACAACATTGTAAATATGCTAAGAAAAAAAGTCACCTTGGAAATACAATGATTTGCATTTCACTATAAATATACTCCCCAGTAATCAGAGTTTAACTTTCAAATGTATTGCAAAACACAGAAATCTGTTTATTCATTCTGTATCTAATATAAATATTTTCTTAAGACATGAGATAAGGCAAAAACCCATCTCTACTAAAAATACAAAAAGGTAATCTGGGTGTGGTAGTGAACACTTACAGTTTCAGGTACTGGGAGATTGTGCTAGGAGGACTGCTTGAGCCAGGGAAGTGAAGACTGCAGTGAACTGTGACTGTGCCACTGCACTCCAGCCTGGGCGACAGAACAAAACCCTGTCTCAAAATATATACATGTATATGTAAAGGAATTATATATATATATATATATATATATATATATATATACACACACATACATATATATATACACACACACACACACACACACATATATGCATAAAGGAACTTTATACTTATCTTTTCCATTGAAATATAACATGTCTATATTAAAATGAATAAATAGCATCAAATACTACTTGTACTTTTAAAAAGAATATTGTGGAACTATCAACTATATTAAGGTGTAAAATATTACGCCTCCACAGTCTTCCCTTATGCCTCTGGTCACTCACTATGCCTCCCAAAAATGTAATCAGTATTCTGGCATCTGCCACCATAACAAACTCTGCTACTTTTTGAGTATCATCAACGTGTAATATCCTATTTGTTAATTTTTTTAACTAACCAAGATCTATGAGATTCGTCTCTGTTATGCGTAGTCATGGGTTGTTATTTCTTATTGCTGTATACCAGTCAATTGTGCGAATGATTATAATTTATTTATCCATCCCACTTTATCATTTTAGTGTTGGGGCAATTTCGATCATTTCTCCTTTGAGTGCTATGAATAATGCTTCATTAAATATTCTTATCTTTGATGACATATATAAAGATTTTTTGCTGGGTATATATCTTGGAATTTAATTGATGAGTCATAAGTATACATATGTTGTTGGATACTACTAAAGAATTTGAAAGTGGTTATAAAAATGAATGCTTTCACCAAAAGTATATAAGAGTTCCTGTTACTGTATATTACTACTAACACTTGGGTACTTCAATTTTTATTTAATTTTAGTCATTCAAGTACTTTTGTAATAATATTTCATTGTGACTTTGTGTTTCTCTAATGAGTAAATATGTTGAGCATATTTATTAAGATTACTTTTGGATGACATCTAAAAACTGACTGTCCAATATATTTATTCATTTTATTTTGATCTTTGATAATCTATACTTTTATTATTAATTTGTAATTGTTCTTTATGTATTTTATAAGTCTTCTATTAGTAATTTGTAGGGCAAATATCTTGTCCTAGTCCTTTGATTTCCAGTTATTCTTTTGAAATTGTCTTTTGATGAACAGGTTTTAAAAAATTTTTATAAAGTCTAATTTATAAGTCTTTTTCCTCATAGCAAATGATTATGTTCAGTTGAGGAAATATTGACCTATCCAAATGTCATCACTATGTAAAGTTGCATAAAATTTATTTTATCACCTTTTGTATTTTTGTTTCGGTTTATGATTTATCTAGAATTGATTTTGTACATGATATGAATTGGAAGTAATCTTTTTTCCATATGGTATATTATTCCAATATAATTCTTGGAAATGCCACTGTTTTTTCTTCCATCCCAGTTAATTATTAATGAAATTCAAGTGACTTGCTACTTTTACAGTTCTAGAACTTCCATTTTTTAACATTACATATGTATATTTCAGGTTTTAGAGGCTCAACAGAGATTCTTTTTTATAATTTAATCATATATTTATATCTGGGTTATATTTGAGTATTTCCGTGTCTTTTTAAATTCTTCTTCATTTACTCCTGTTTGCTGGTGTGCTAGGTAAAATGTTGGATACTTTATGTGACAAGTTGTAAAGTCTCTGGATCTTATTATCATCCTTCAGAGACTTTGTTTCCTACACACAGAGAGCATATACAGAAAACACCTCACTCCAACAGAGACTACAAATATTTGAAGCTTTCCTCTGAGTTTTGTGACAGTTCTTCTATTTCTTATTTGTCCTTTCTCTTAAGGCATACTCCTTTAGGACTATCAACTTTAAACCTAAGTGGGTTGGGCGTCTGAGTTCCTTCTTAGGCTTTAACTATTTCCATTCTAGCACTTTGAGACTGCCAAAACTTTAGTGTAATTTTCATCCATTGACCAGATTTTTGCTTTGTTATTTTAACCTCTTGCTATGGAAAGGTACAATTTAGGAATTGATAAACTTCTCATAGGATAGCCATATTGTATATGTATTATATTGTATATGGTAAAGGCCTAGCTCAACTTCTAGGGCTCCATTTCTCTAGCATTTCGGCCTCTTCATTCCTGGATGCCATGCTGTCCATGAACCCTAATGTCTGTTTCCCCAGCTCACTGAAAACAACTCAAACTCTAAGCTGCACTCACCCCTCAGCCACTACAACTTGAAAATAAAATCGGCAACTAGTCTTGGAGGGAAGGCTGCTTTCAGTGCAAATTTGATACATGTGTTTATAGTCCTTTCCCTCAAGTTCTGGTACTTAAGGTGTTTTCTAATGCTTCCAATCAATTCTTTTTAATTCATTTGTTATTTTTATCATTTGTTAAATTTTTATAGTTGTCAAGGAGTGATGATGTATGATGTGAGTTACTCATCATAGCTAGGAATAGAACTCAAGATTAATTTGTATCAAGTTATACGGGTGGTAATGAAGTAAACAAATAGTAATGATAAAATACAAGTCATTTGATTTCCCAACACTCTAAGTAGATTTTAGAAAGTTCTGGGCAGTAAATTTTTAACTAGGCAGAAAGTTCCCTGGCATGGCATGCCATCAAATCCTCCACTATCCATTAAGCAGCAATGATTCTCTCTTTAACAATATTTGAAACTCAGTCCTCAAAGGTAGAGAGAGAGGGTCTTTCATGAGTACACTACATTAGTCCTAGGAGCATGACTGCTCCTTATACCCGCTATTCTTTTATTTTGAAAAGTTCACTTTACCTCCTATTCCCATTCCCTCGTTACCATGTTACTTGAATTCCCCATTATAGTTAATATATATATATATATATATATGATTATATATGACATATTATATACACACAGAGATTTGTCTGTATATGTATTACACATACACAGATATATATAATATGATTATAATTCTATGTCATATATATAATATATATGTCAGAATATATACGATACATATATTCTGTTCAAATTAATATATTATATAATATATTCTCTCCAAATCTGTTGTTTCTCTCTCCTGACAACCTTAACTGATGAAGACATGTAAGTAAGAGTTTTGAGGAAGATCCAGTCCTAAGTAGCTGCGACATGACTACTTTAAATATGGTTTTCGAATGAGTGCACTGGGCCTGAAAAGATTGGTTCAGAGAAGACAACAAAATATAGGTAAAATATAAATTCAGACTAGGTATATCAATAATGAAGCATTGACACTAAATCAGCAGGATGCTTGCCTACTTACACTCAGAAATACTCAGAGTTCAAAAGAGGGTGTTACTAGAATAAGGATATGGATAACCTAATCTATACAGGCTAATTGACTGCAAGGTCAGAAAGTTGAGTTGGTAAAACAATAGATAAATATTAACGCAATAAAAGTATTCTTGAACTTTGAAGAGGTGTAATATTATGGTAGTTAAGAATCACACATTTACAAAAAGATAGGATTTGAATTCTGAAGTGCTTCTGTTTAATAGTGAAAATGTGGCAACATTTCAAGCCTTTGGACCCTGAGTTTTCTGAAAATGGAAAAAAAAATCTTATGTTTTTTCAGTCATAGGTGTGTATGTGTTTGTGTGTATGTGTGCATGTGTATTCACATGCATGAAAACAGGGAAAGCAAGTGGATAAATAGCACAAGTATGTCTTAAGAAGAGGAAAAAATATAGAGTGAAAACAACACACATACATGAAGAAGTAGAAAAGGAAGCAGAGATAACAAGAGCCAAGGTGGATGGTTTTCAGCATTGTCATCAGCAGCATCTTCAGCATCATTTTCATCGTCATCATTGTCAACAGCAGCAGTAGTGGCAACATCAATACCATCATGTTAATAGTAAAATGCAGTGGCAGCAGAACTAAAATCATTTCTCAGAGAACGCTATACCCCAGAACTTTTTGCCCTGGGGAGGACATAAAACTCTTGATCTAATTTTTAGACTCTAAAAGCCTGAAGGCATGAGCAGAGCCTTCTTAAAAGTTTTCAGAAATATTGCTATAAGCTATATTTTCCCTAGCATAATAACTTGAAAGCAAGTAAAGAACGTATTTCAATTTTTAAAAATACTTTTGATTGATCTTTTTGTAGTTCATGAGTGTAATGACTGGGTGTTCGCCCACATGTGTGTGATTTGCTACCCTTGAACCTTGTTATGATGTCAGCACATTACTGGCCTGACCTGAGAAGAAAAATAAGTTTTTGATAATTGTTTTTGACTGACATATACTTCTCCAATATGACATTCGTGCAAAATTGAACTATCTAAATCATAACGTATAAGTATGACAGAGACCATCTCTTTAAGAGTATCTGTTACTCCCATTGCTAATAATTTACTTAATAAAAATCAAGTAATTGTGTTTTGCATGCCACTTTTTCAGTAGAGAATGTGTCTGACAAGTTCATAGACAATTCAGCTCTTTATTTATTCTTCTTTTTTTTAAAATTTTTTATTGGATTTTAGGTTTTGGGGTACATGAGCAGAGCATGCAAGACAGTTGCGTAGGTACACACATGGCAGTGTGCTTTGCTTTTCTTCTCCCCTTCACCCACATTTGGCATTTCTCCCCAGGCTATCCCTCCCCACCTCCCCCTCCCACTGGCCCTCCCCTTTTCTCCCCAATAGACCCCAGTGTTTAGTACTCCCCTTTCTGTGTCCATGTGCTCTCATTTTTCATCACCCATCTATGAGTGAGAATATGCGGTGTTTCATTTTCTGTTCTTGTGTCAGTTTGCTGAGGATGATGTTCTCCAGATTCATCCATGTCCCTACAAACGACACAAACTCATCATTTCTGATTGCTGCATAATATTCCATGGTGTATATGTGCCACATTTTTCCAATCCAGTCTATTATCAATGGGCATTTGGGTTGATTCCAGGTCTTTGCTATTGTAAACAGTGCTGCAATGAACATTCGTGTACATGTGTCCTTATAGTAGAAAGATTTATAGTTTTTGGATATATACCCAGTAATGGGATTGCTGGGTCAAATGGAATTTCTATTTCTAAGGCCATGAGGAATCCCCACACCATCTTCCACAATGGTTGAACTAATTTACACTCCCACCAACAGTGTAAAAGTGTTCCTTTTTCTCCACATCCTCTCCAGCATCTGTTGTCTCCAGATTTTTTAATGATCATCATTCTAACTGGCGTGAGATGGTATCACAATGTGGTTTTGATTTGCATCTCTCTGATGACCAGTGACGATGAGCATTTTTTCATATGATTGTTGGCCTCATATATGTCTTCTTTCGTAAAGTATCTGTTCATATCCTTTGCCCACTTTTGAATGGGCTTGTTTGTTTTTTTCCTGTAAATCTGTTTGAGTTCTTTGTAAATTCTGGATATCAGCCCTTTGTCAGATGGGTAGACTGCAAAAATTTTTTCCCATTCTGTTGGTTGCCAATTCACTCTAGTGACCGTTTCTTTTGCCGTGCAGAAGCTGTGGAGTTTAATTAGGTCCCATTTGTCTATTTTGGCTTTTGTTGCCAATGCTTTTGGTGTTTTGTTCATGAAGTCCTTGCCTACTCCTATGTCCTGGATAGTTTTGCCTAGATTTCCTTCTAGGGTTTTTATGGTGCCAGGTCTTATGTTTAAGTCTTTAATCCATCTGGAGTTAATTTTAGTGTAAGGTGTCAGGAAGGGGTCCAGTTTCTGCTTTCTGCACATGGCTAGCCAGTTTTCCCAACACCATTTGTTGAACATGGAATCCTTGCCCCATTGCTTGTTTTTGTCAGGTTTATCAAAGATTGTATAGTTGTATGTATGTTGTGTTGCCTCCGGTGCCTCTGTTTTGTTCCATTGGTCTATATCTCTGTTTTGGTACCAGTACCATGCTGTTTTGATTACTGTAGCCTTGTAGTATAGTTTGAAATCTGGTAGTGTGATGTCCCCCGCTGTGTTCTTTTTGCTTAGAATTGACTTGGCTATGCGGGCTCTCTTTTGGTTCCATATGAAGTTCATGGTGGTTTTTTCCAGTTCTGTGAAGAAAGTCAATGGTAGCTTGATGGGGATAGCGTTGATTCTGTAAATTACTTTGGGCAGTATAGTCATTTTCACGATATTAATTCTTCCTAACCATGAACATGGAATGTTTCTCCATCTGTTTGTGTCCTCTCTGATTTCGTTGAGCAGTGGTTTGTAGTTCTCCTTGAAGAGGTCTCTTACGTTCCTTGTGAGTTGTATTCCAAGGTATTTTATTTTTTTTGTAGCAATTGCGAATGGCAGTTCGTTCTTGATTTGGCTTTCTTTAAGTCTGTTATTGGTGTAGACGAATGCTTGTGATTTTTGCACATTGATTTTATATCCGGAGACTTTGCTGAAGTTGCTTATCAGTTTCAGGAGTTTTTGGGCTGACGCGATGGGGTCTTCTAGGTATACTATCATGTCGTCTGCAAATAGAGACAATTTGACTTCCTCCTTTCCTATTTGAATACCCTTTATTTCTTTTTCTTGCCTGATTGCTCTGGCTAGAACTTCCATTACTATATTGAATAGGAGTGATGACAGAGGGCATCCTTGTCTAGTGCCAGATTTCAAAGGGAATGCTTCCAGTTTTTGCCCATTCAGTATGATATTGGCTGTTGGTTTGTCATAAATAGCTTTTATTACTTTGAGATACGTTCCATCGATACCGAGTTTATTGAGGGTTTTTAGCATAAAGGGCTGTTGAATTTTGTCAAATGCCTTCTCTGCGTCAATTGAGAAAATCATGTGGTTTTTGTTTTTCGTTCTGTTTATGTGGTGAATTACGTTGATAGACTTGCGTATGTTGAACCAGCCTTGCATCCCCGGGATGAATCCTACTTGATCATGATGAATAAGTTTTTTGATTTGCTGTTGCAATCGGCTTGCCAATATTTTATTGAAGATTTTTGCGTCTATGTTCATCATGGATATTGGCCTGAAGTTTTCTTTTCTCGTTGGGTCTCTGCCGGGTTTTGGTATCAGAATGATGTTGGTCTCATAAAATGATTTGGGAAGGATTTCCTCTTTTTGGATTGTTTGAAATAGTTTTAGAAGGAATGGTACCAGCTCCTCCTTGTGTGTCTGGTAGAATTCGGCTGTGAACCCGTCTGGACCTGGGCTTTTTTTGTGTGGTAGGCTCTTAATTGCTGCCTCGACTTCAGACCTTGTTATAGGTCTATTCATAGTTTCAGCTTCCTCCTGGTTTAGGCTTGGGAGGACACAGGAGTCCAGGAATTTATCCATTTCTTCCAGGTTTACTAGTTTATGTGCATATAGTTGTTTGTAATATTCTCTGATGATGGTTTGAATTTCTGTGGAATCTGTGGTGATTTCCCCTTTATCATTTTTTATTGCATCTATTTGGTTGTTCTCTCTTTTCTTTTTAATCAATATGGCTAGTGGTCTGTCTATTTTGTTGATCTTTTCAAAAAACCAGCTCTTGGATTTATTGATTTTTTGAAGGGTTTTTTGTGTCTCAATCTCCTTCAGCTCAGCACTGATCTTAGTAATTTCTTGTCTTCTGCTGGGTTTTGAGTTTTTTTGATCTTGCTCCTCTAGCTCTTTCAATTTTGATGATAGGGTGTCGATTTTGGATCTCTCCATTCTCCTCATATGGGCACTTATTGCTATATACTTTCCTCTAGAGACTGCTTTAAATGTGTCCCAGAGGTTCTGGCACGTTGTGTCTTCGTTCTCATTGGTTTCGAAGAACTTCTTTATTTCTGCCTTCATTTCGTTGTTTACCCAGTCAACATTCAAGAGCCAGTTGTTCAGTTTCCATGAAGCTGTGCGGTTCTGGGTCGGTTTCTGAATTCTGAGTTCTAACTTGATTGCACTATGGTCTGAGAGGCTGTTTGTTATGATTTCAGTTGTTTTGCATTTGTTGAGCAGTGCTTTACTTCCAATTATGTGGTCAATTTTTGAGTAGGTGTGATGTGGTGCTGAGAAGAATGTGTATTCTGTGGATTTGGGGTGGAGAGTTCTGTAAATGTCTATCAGGTTTGCTTGCTCCAGGTCTGAGTTCAAGCCCTGGATATCCTTGTTGATTTTCTGTCTGGTTGATCTGTCTAGTATTGAGAGTGGAGTGTTAAAGTCTCCCACTATTATTGTGTGGGAGTCTAAGTCCTTTTGTAAGTCATTAAGAACTTACCTTATGTATCTGGGTGCTCCTGCATTGGGTCCATATATGTTTAGGATCATTAGCTCTTCTTGTTGTATCGATCCTTTTACCATTATGTAATGGCCTTCTTTGTCTCTCTTGATCTTTGTTGCTTTAAAGTCTATTTTATCAGAGATGAGAATTGCAACTCCTGCTTTTTTTTTGCTTTCCATTAGCTTGGTAAATCTTCCTCCATCCCTTTATTTTGAGCTTTTGTGTATCCTTGCATGTGAGATGGGTTTCCTGTATACAGCACACTGATGGGTTTTGGATTTTTATCCAATTTGCCAGTCTGTGTCTTTTGATTGGTGCATTTAGTCCATTTACATTTAGGGTTAATATTGTTATGTATGAATTTGATACTGCCATTTTGATGCTAAGTGGCTTTTTTGCCTGTTAGTTGTTGTAGATTCTTCATTATGTTGATGCTCTTTAGCATTCAGTGTGATTTTGGAATGGCTGGTACTGGTTTATCCTTTCTATGTGTAGTGCCTCTTTTAGGAGCTCTTGGAAAGCAGGCCTGGTGGTGACAAAATCTCTGGGTACTTGCTTGTTCACGAAGAATTTTATTTTTCCTTCACTTCTGAAGCTCAGTTTGGCTGGATATGAAATTCTGGGTTGAAAGTTCTTTTCTTTAAGAATGTTGAATATTGGCCCCCACTCTCTTCTTGCTTGTAGTGTTTCTGCCGAGAGATCTGCTGTGAGTCTGATGGGCTTCCCTTTGTGGGTGACCCGACCTTTCTCTCTGGCTGCCCTTAGTATTCTCTCCTTTATTTCAACCCTGTTGAATCTGACGATTATGTGCCTTGGGGTTGCTCTTCTTGCGGAATATCTTTGTGGTGTTTTCTGTATTTCCTGCAATTGAGTGTTGGCCTGTCTTGCTAGGTGGGGGAAATTTTCCTGAATGTCCTGAAGAGTATTTTCCAGCTTGGATTCATTCTCTTCATCCCCTTCTGGTACACCTATCAAATGTAAGTTAGGTCTTTTCACATAGTCCCACATTTCTTGGAGACTTTGTTCATTCCTTTTTGCGCTTTTTTCTCTAAT